TAGTACGATAGAGTTATAACAATATTTAATGGCATTATATCTATAGAAAAAAAAATCGGATTCTTTAAAGAAAGCTCCGTTAACCTTTCATAGTTGCTAAAAACATGAAAATACTAGCGAAATGTCAACCTATCATTTTTGTATTCATTGTTATATATATAATTAATTATATTATTAGTTTTTTCACCCTTTTTCGGTATCGTATTTAAATGGTATTCAATAGTTTTCTTACTTGTTTACACAATCAATGTTCGATTATTGTTTAACGGATATGAGTATTTCATAATAATGAAACAAAAACTAGAAGTCTTTTTGTTAAACATTACACTGATTTCTTCTACATTTTCAATATGACAGACACATAGATAATATATTCCGGGACTATTTGCCAAGATATCGTAAGCTTACTATTCATCACAAAGCTATTTTCATGCAACAAGTACTCTATTGGGAATACCATAAAGACTATTAAAAAGCGTTTACTATACGGAAGTGTTCAGATTAGAGAGTTAACGTATATTTTACTGTAGAATGAAGAAATTGTTGCAAAAGATTTGCTTTTACTTCATCCGGGTTAAAACATTTGCTGATCTCTACTTTTGTTTTTTCTGTTAAAATCCTCTCATATTCTTTATCTTTCTGCTTGTAAAATAATATCGATAACAATTAAGTTCGATTAAAACTCGTACTATATTATCATTCTATAATTAAATCATGAATAAAATAGATATATTCATAATTCATAAGAAAGAAATGTTAGTAGAAAAATATTGCATGTGTGTGTTCACTAGTAGGAACTTTACTGTATTATGTACATTGTTATACTGATTTGCATTAAAACTTTTCGTTTCATTGTACACTTCAATAAGTTCGATTGAGTATAATTATTCTAATGTAATATATACGAGTATATGACGGCTTAATAGAAAAAATAAAACTACAGAGGATTAAAAAAAAAATATTGCTGTCGTATGCAACTATAAATTGAGTATAACCAGATGTTAGTACGTATAAAAGAGAATCCCAATCAATAGAACATCTAAGTTACCTCATTGATTATAATCCAATGTAGTTCTAGTCTATTAGTAAAATTTTGTTGTAATTTTTCATTATTATAACTAGTAGCCAGAAGAGTAGATACCATACAAGTGATTATTGCTTTCAATGTAAAGATTATTTAACTCAGCTGGGTAGACATCTACTCAAGGACGAATATGTTTATCATCAAATCAAATTAATAGCATATTATTATTTATTCGTTCATATATGAAAAAGTCAAGAAAATATATCTTCTTTCTTATTGTTTATCTATTTTATATTTTAAATTCTATATCTTTATTTTATTCATCTTATGAATATCAAAAATTTTTGAAAAACTTTTTATTTCATTTCGTACTTAAAAAACATGTGATAAGATATATTAACATGATTATGTTGTAAATGATTTTTGTATAGATAGTACGTCTATGATATTTGATATCCTAGACAAGTTTGTGTCTATGTCCTTGTCAAAAATGCAATGAAAAGATCGAATACAGGAGACGATCCTTTGTCCTGCAATGTTCTAACAAAAACGTTAAAATGATTTGAGTTCCTATTGAAATTTGACTAAGTTATCGAATTGTTTTTCTAGAGATCCCAGATTTTTAAATAATGTCTTATAGAATACAAAGCAGATCGAAGAAAATTGTCCTGTAATGTTCTCCGATCTCAAATACTAAAATATTTAAATTAACAAAATAATAATCAGTTTATACTCATCTTGATTGAACAGATGAATAATTACAAAATGTTCATCTTCTCATATCTCCGTTGACAAATTGTACTGATCTCAAAAAAATAAATACGAATAAATTTTAATTTATGAAAAGTTAAAAAATAAGTATAAAAAAATATGAAAAAAGAATAATTACTGACCTCTAACGAATAAATATTATTAAAATACGAAATAAATCAATATTAATGATTTTAAATATTTGATATTCGTCTTTTTTGTTTGTTTTTTATCAGTTTCTATGTCATATGGAATATTGCTTTCATGAAAAATAGCTTTAGAGCAATGCGACAACCTTCAATATCAATGACATATTCAATGTTTTGCCGTATAAGAATACTAATATACATTATTATTGTCCTTACGGAATCAATTGTTTCTAGTAAATATGTTTTTAAAAAAAATCATTTTGATTATATGTCGAAAAGAATATAGATGAAAATATATAATAATAATTCAATCATAACTAAATTTAATATTATTCTTTTGTTATCAATCAATCAATTCAATTATGTAACAATTGAATGGCCTATTATCGTTAATTACTTTCACACATCCGTCTAGATAATCATAATTGACATCAACAATTTTCTTTTTTTTTTTTTTTATAAAAAATAAAGTTATTTATTCACATGAAAAGATGTGCTCAACCATATGTTTTATATGTTCTATTTTTAAACTTAAATCACAATTTCCTTTTCTTTTTTCTTCGATAATTTTGTTTAAACATAAGAATAGAAAAAGAAATTACTGCGTCATTTCATTCATGTCTAGCATACGTTGTTTGTCTTCGTCGTTTTTTTTTCTTCTTCTTCATTCTACTGTCTTTTTGACATAAACTTATTCGAGCTGATTCATCAAGGATACATGCTTACATGCACACTAAGAGAATAGTTGTTACTATTACCATTAATAGTTCTAGATTACTTCACTCGTTCTTTTTGTATATGTGCGTATCGAATCAGAAGCAGTCATCAAGTTAGACGCCTTTTTTTGTTAGACTAGGAAAGCAAAAAAAGAAAATCGTCGACCAAAATACAAAAGTGCAGTCTAGTTATTGTTTTTCTTGATCCTATAACACGCGCTTAAAAATTATTCATATATAGCGCTTGCAAATTTATACAAAAGAAAATGTTAGATACAGAGAGGTCTATAAATAAATAGACGATATAAAGACTCAATATTTTTAGTCTACTTTAATCAATCGGACTAGTTTGTTTTTCTCGGTAATAGACGATTCTTCAAAGATGTTATAGGGTAAGAATTAGAAAATTTTTCTCAGCCAAGGTACAGGGTACGAGTAAAGCTTATCCTACATATTTCGACTTTGAGAATGTAAGCCAACACGACCAGACCGGTCTTGTTGGATTGAGTTAAAGAAGAGTTATAGTGTATGATAGCTCTTCTCACTATGTGTTCGATAACGGAAGATAGGAAGAAGATTACGACTGGATCAACTTATCATTATGTAAAATATCCGCAGCTTTTGAACGCTTAGATGAAACGCAATGAAATTTGTAATGTAAATAGCCGTATTAAAAGACTATATAATGATAAGTTTGTCGAGTCATAAGCTTCTTTTCTTCTTGAATTATAGTGAGAAGAACTATGCTACATCATAATTCCTCTTCAATTCAAGCGATCGAAACCGAACTAGTCTTGTTGGCCTACATTTCTAAGGTAGCATTTCCACTGAAAATTCCACATGTCTTGTCTCATGGATGAGTGAAACACTTTTGACGAATAGCGGTCGTGTATTACTGAGAAAAAAAACGACCTCATTGATTAAAACAAACTGAAGAAATTGAATTTTTGTTATCGTCTAGTGCTTTATAGGCCATCCAGATTACTCAGTTTTTTTACATATGGTTTGCGTTTTTAGCGATTCAATTTTATCTAAACAATTTATAAGTCATTCAGATATTTTTGATTGTTCTATCGAAGCATAAGTTCTTACTCAATATTACTCTGTTGATTCAGGTATTTATAAATGATATTATTTTGTAAAGATGACTAAGTAAAAAAAAATGCCTAATTTTATCTTAAATGTAACACTTATCTATTTCCTTATGTCTGGTATGTTAAATTCGTAATTGCATAGTTTTGTCATCTTACAAAGTCTTTTCGATGACTGACATTAATTACACTATTCCATTCTTCATTATCTATGACAATAAACACATGGGAATATTTTTTTACACTGTCTGAATTCATTCATTAAACTTATTAATTATTCATGTCTATTTCTGGTCTCTTTCAAATGACATAAAAATAATATAAAAGATTATTTTATTAATTAATTTTTTTGTATTAAATAGTTAAGGAAATATTTGAATAACTCCATAGCAATCGATAAATGCGTATATATTCATTAGACGATCTTAGTATCGTCTCATTCAAGGAAGTGGGTGAGAATGCTGGGTTCTCTGTTGTTTTTTTTCGTTTGCACTTCTCTGTCTTCTTTTTTTTTTTTTTTTTTGTCTTTTCTGTCTGTATCTCTCAGGAGAAAGAAAGCAACAGATATGATAGATAGAAGTACAGCAAGCCAAAATAAACTTTGGCCTTCTTTTCCTTTATTCTTCTTCCATTAATGATACACCATACAGTTGAGATATGATGTCCATCTTTTGAGAAAAGTTAAGGTCAGTTGATCATACATATATACATTCATTTCAAATAAAAAATGATCTTTTCATAAATCATTTTGTTTTTTTTTCTCCCTAGTATTTAGTACGTTAATCAATATAGTGAAGCATTCCTTTTTTTTTTCTCTATCATCTTTCTCATTTACTTTCTTGTATTATATATATGAATAAAAAAAAAAAAGAAAGAAGGTCAACGGCAGCAGGCGACTACTTGTTGTTGTTGTTGTTGTTAAAAGATAACAAGCTGCCAAAATTTCCGATCATACAATTATTCATTCTATCTCATCTCTCGTTTTCTTTTTCTTCTTTCTCTCTCTCTGTTAGAGTCGTTCATCTTATATTTCAGATATGTTTTTTTGTATGTATACAATCTGTATAGATCGATTGCTTTAGGCTAGCAAATCGACACAGACCGTTAAACAAAATGAGTAGTATGTATACAGCTGTGCCAGTATGAGCACAAATAATAGAATATTATAAATTGTTCTTGATTACAGCTGCTGTGCCTAATACTCGTCACTATTTTTGTATAATCGTTATTTTTTGTTCGTTTTTTGTAGATTTATTTTTAACGAATAACAATGGCTGAAAATAATACATCCTCGACTGAAGTACATTTACATAAACCTGATGAACAAGGTAAAATTGTTATGAAAATTATTATTTTTTTGTTATTGGTAATACTGTAGTCATTCATGGCGAAAGTCATCAACAAAGAGAACAAATAATTATTGAAAATCCAAATGCTACTCATCATGTAGAAGATATTCATGTTACATTTAATAATCCACATCCCATACCAGTTGAAAATAAAACTGAAGAAATTAAAGGTAATAATATAGTTTTATAATGACATTGTACATTATATATATATAGTGTTTTTTGTATTGTGATAGATAAAGCTAATGAAGTAATTGATAAAACACAACATACATTGAATGAAGCAACTAATAAAACTAGTGAACATGCAACTGCTGCTGCTCATAATGTTCAGGAACAAGCAAAAGAAACTGCTGAAAATGTTCAAGGTAGAATTTTGTTCATAGATAATTGTTTAAATAAGAAAATCTTTTTTTTAGAAAAAGCTACTGAATTAAAACAAGATGCAGCTGCTACTGCTCATGCAGCCGGAGAA